TTTGGGTTACACAAAGTATTCAATAGCTACAGTCGCTCTAGTTACCTATTATCTTTAAAGAAGTAGATATAGGATAATACTACCCTTCCACTAATCACTAAATTTATTACCCAAATCAATTTTTCTAACTATGACTATATCATTCATACAACTTATTGATTATTCTAATATAACTACATTTATTATGCGAGAAAATCATACTACCCACTATCACTATTAAATTATTAATTTATTGCATCACATATTCACCCAATCTTTTCTAATCACTGGCTCAGTGACTACTTGTTATCTATCCTGAGTCACATGCATATTGATAATATCTGTGACACAAGCTATACCTCCTTAGATCTCTATCCCTGGGATTTACTAAGTCTTGATCACAATCATCATTTCTATTTAAAGCTCTTGACTTAAGCTTTTTAACTCAGTTTCTTGTAATAGGATCCTTAAAATGATTTCTATCACTTCACTAATATAGAATTGCTCTTTATCTCTAATCTTTCAAACAACATAAGGTCCAAGCTATTGATAGTCAAGGTTTCTTGACAGTGCTGTGTTGAGGATCTTATCATACACCAATATTAGGTCTCCAACAGTTATTTTTTCCTTTTCTTTCACATGTTTATTATGAAAGTACTTCTAATATTGGCAAAGCTCATCTCTATTTGTCTTTACTTGATCTAAATTACTTATCATATCTTTCACTTGACATGTTCTGTACTTCAGAAGTTCTTCTGTGGTCTGCTTTCTTTTTCCCATAAACATCTGATAACTTTCTAGGGTCAGCTCAACTGGAGTAATTGCATCACAACCATAAACTAAATAGAATGATAAATATCTCAAATTTGTAACAGTTATGTTTATTGCCCATACTACACCTCTAATATATTCGTGCTACTTGTTTTGTCTTTTGGCACTAATCTTGCACAATACATGAGAAATTTTCTGAACTGTATGTTCCGCTTACCTATTCACTTCAGGGTGGTAGCTGGCAACGAAATGTTGATCTATATTTAATTGAGAGGTAAGTTCCTCAAGCAGACTATTCTTAAATTCAGATCCTCAGTCCGAGACTAGTACTAAAAAACAACCATTATATCTTTCTATATAAATTTAGCTATACTTTTAGCATTCTTCTTTTGTAATAGTCGAGCTTTAACATATCCTATCAAATCTTCTACTGCTATCACAATATAAAGATGTCTAGTGGCAGATTTAGATAATAGACCTATACAATCTATATAGACTTATGGAAGATCTGGCTAGTCCCAGCAATATATATTAGCTCCTTTGTAGTTTGTTCTCTACAGCATTGACATATTAGACAGGTCAACATATATTCTTTTATATCACTATATATATTTCTACAAGCCTACTTGTATTTGCACAAAATAGTCCTAAATATTCCATGAATTCCTTGATGACTACCTTCTTTAGATATATCTTTGTGACTTGCTGCTAAGATTGTATCCTTTTCTTTATTATCACATATAACCTGCCTTGGTGGTAAATTTCCTTTTCCTCTAGCAAACATTGTATCATCAATCAAACAGAACCTTTTCACTTTTCTCTGAAGCTGAGGCAAATCTTTGGTAGGTACAGATCTTCTTCACCGAAATTTTTCAAATAAAATTCAACCTTTACTAAATCTTTTATAACTGGGTTGTCCATATCTACTCGCATAAGCATATTATTAATAAACTCTTCATCTAAGATTCTTTCTTTATTTGTTTTACCAGGATGTCTAAATAGTCCATCTGCATTTTTGTGTTTTCGACCTGGCCTATAATGTATTTTGAATTCAAATAATTCAAAGCTAGAACCTATCTTATTAATTGTCCTCCTAGCTTAACTTTATTAAAAAGCCACTCCAGGGCTTGATGATCTGTCTATACATCAAATATAGTACTACTGATATACCTCTCATTAGTTTTACATCCATATACTACAGCTAAACACTCCTTTTCCGAAACTATATAATTAAGTTCATGCATATTTAATTTCCTTGAATCAAAACTAATCAGTTTTAAATTTTCTTCATCATCTAATTGTTCCAGAACTATACCAATAGAAACCTTACTTGCATCTGTGTACATTTGGTAGAGTTGTAACCCTTCCTTTGCCTTTTCCCAGTCTAGACTCTTTAAAACTACGTCTTGAATAATTATATTCTTTAGCTTGTTAAATGCAACTTCTTGATCGTTTTACCACTAAAATTTAACTTCTTTCTTTGTTAGCTGCATTAACAGCGCAGCTATTTTACTAACATCTTTCACAAATCTTCAATAATAATTCATAATTCCAAGAAATAATCATGTTTCAGTTTCACTAGTGGGTCTACACCATCCTGATATTTTTGCTATCCTTTTAGAATCAACTTGTATTCTACTTTACTAACCAAAAATCTATACATTAAAATTTCTTTGTACAATATATGACACTTTTTGGCTGCAAATATCATTTCTGCTTTCTTGAATCGCTTGGCTAACTTCACAAAAATATTAATGTAATGTTCAACACTGCTATTGGTCCAAATCCCTACATTATTTTGGTAAGCAGCGCCATCTTTTTCCATTCATCTTCCTTTAACAATATATCCATTAATTGCTGATATGTTTCACTTGCATTTTTTAATCCCATGCATATCACTGTATATTTTAGTACTCCCAAAGTTGTCAATACTGCCACCATATCATGATCCTTTTCACAGATCTTTATTTGCCAGTAGTCATTAAAAGCATCAATAGTGCTGTACCACTCATGACCAACTGCTTTTTCAAGTATATCTCTGATTAACAGTAAAGGATAACTATCCTTTACAATATATTTGTTGAGGGCTTCATGTTCTCTACAGCACACATTTTGCCAGTTCCTCCTACTTTCTTATTAACAGAAAAACTATGGTATGCATATTCACCTATCCCTTCTTCAAGTAATTCCCACTTTATCATTTCTTTCAAATGATCTTCAAAAGCCTAGACTCTTTCAGGTTTATTTATTTTTACAGGCTATAAACGCATGGGAGGCACCCTAGCATCACCTATTTTTACTTCGTATTCCACTAGATTAGTTTTTCTAATTTCTAACAAATCAAAAGCAAAGGCTTTTGACACTTCTTCAATCAAACAGTTTTTCAATATTTCTTTTTGCTCTTTAGTCACATCAGGCCCAACATCGAACTACTCCAATTTACTTCAGTTAATCTCATAACTACTGCTGCATTTAGGCCTTCGATCGTTCCATTACATCTCTCCTTTGCTGAGTTTTAATATATAATACATCTTTTATAATCGTAATTTATCAAATCTTGATCATTTACTGGTAAAATTTCTTCAAAGCTCTTTTTAATATTTTGTTTATACTCAATTCTTCATTATTGCTAATCTCAACTTTCCTAACCATAACCACATCCTCCTCGTCACTTAGTTCATCTTCTTTATCATCAGTATACAAACATCTTTCATCAGCTCATTTGGTCTATTCTTTTGGTACTATTGATATAATGAATAAAGATTTCTTATCAGGAGTGAGATAATATACCAGTACTGATTGTCATGTCATTTTAGCTCATATTGAGCTTTGGAAATCCATGGCATTCCTAAAAGGACACTAAAACTCATACTTTCTATCATGTAAAATCCTTCATTAACTACCACACCTTCCATTTCTACTTCTATACTAGGAATATTACCTACAAAACTGCTTACATGATTATCCGCTATTCTTCCTTTCCCTTTCACCTCTTTCTACTCAAAACCTCTTCTTTTCATATAATCGATATAAATCAAGTTTAATTGGAACCTGGGTCTATAGAAACTTTAACTAAGTTACTATTGATTAAAGCATCATGCACAGGCACTATTTCATTATGTTTTTGCTTTGTTCTTTCTTGCACCACATTTACTAGACTAATTTTCGCATCCATATGCTCTATATCACTTTTTTTTTATGACGCGTTAAAGATTTCAAGATTTCAGTTCTTGCTTTTGGTGACTATTTGAATAATTGTCCCAATGTTATAGTTACCTCTAATTCAGCAATCTTTTGAATTATGTCTAGTTCTTGAACTAACTCAGCCATCGGGATATACATCACAGCCTTTTTTGCTTGTGGTTATGGTTTTATTAATACATCGTGTTTAACAATTGTCTTTCTCCTCTTATTAGAAGTATCTTTTATCTCAGTATATCAGTGCTTTCCTAAAGCCCTAATATTAAATGCCCATGTCCTGACTCAACCTCAATTTTTAAACAATTCTTGCAGTTGAACCTTTTTCTTCTATGATTTTTTTTGCAGAACAGTTTTCTTGATTATTTTTATATTCAAAAAATCATATATCTGTTTTTTCAATCGTTTGCTCTGCTCCTTTTTCTTTGCTTAACTCACACCTTCTTCTTTGCTTATTAGGGCAATTACGCGAAATGTGACCAACTTTTTGATACATGAAGCATTCACAAGATTCAGACTTTCCCTGTGACTTCAATCTTCTTGTCACATTGTTCACAGTCTTGGTGAGTTCATTCACCATATTTTTAACTTCGTCAATTTCATTTGACGAACTATTCATCACACGGCGCAATTTGAGATTTTCGAATGCTTTGGTTAGGTGAGTCATTTCAGCATCCTCTTTATCTGATTGAGGTGTTTCTTGTGACAATATTTTGGTAGCTTTCTTCATGTCATACTCAATATTCTTATTATACATTACAATCTGCAGACCAATCTCCTTTGCTTTATCAAACGTCTCCAGATATTTTTCCTCCACCTTTTCCTTAAATGCTCTCTTAAGCTCAGCAATGTACCATCACCTCTTTTCTCTTTTCCATATTTCATTCTTTATTGGTTCAACATATGCCTCAAATCGGTTAGTGTAATTAGTAACAGACTCATTTTTCATCTGCTTTATATTCATTAACCTTTCTATCTTTTCATTAACATCATAGGTGGCAGATGTTGCATCAATAATGCCCTTCTTTAAATCTGCCCAGGTAGTCTTGCTCTTAATTAGGCCCCTTATCTATGGCCTTAAATGGTCATCTACGTATAGGTACAACACTTGTCTCTTACGATCATCATTCCAATCCTTGAATGTAGCATAAGCATCATAATCAAGCAAAAAACCTTTGACATCTTCTTCTTCTTCTCCATGATAGAAAGGTTTGGTTTTGTCTGTTGTAGTCATTTTATCTGACCTAACTTAAAATCTCTTACATTAATAACTTTTCTTTGATATGTATACAGAGTTCAAATGAGAGACTTGGTGATTTTCTCAGGTCCTTCTTTGTCACAGTGTTAATTAGAGATAGGTATGCTCTTTAAATATCTAATCGGATGCGATAAAGCATCATACAAAGGGGTTAAAGAATGCGAAATTAGTGTTTATTAGGTTTCTACTTAAGTATTATACGCATATTATGATAAGATTATTACATTATTTATTCGTTTATTTAATAAAGTTTATTCGTTTGATTAACAAAGATATGCTTTTACAATATTCTCTTCTGGAGAAGACATTTAATTACTTCCGCTTTCGCTATTTATACTACCCTTTCACTAATTGCTAAATTTATTACCCAAATCAATTTCCCCAACTATAACTACATCGTTCATGCAACTTATTAATTATTCTAATATGATTACATTTATTATGCAAGAAAACCATACCACCCACTATCACTATTAAATCATCAATTTATTACATCTCATATTTGCCCGATCTTTTCTAATCACTAGCCCAGTGACTACTTGTTACCTGTTCCGAGTCACATGTATACTAATAATATCCTTGACAGTAGTCATTTTTTTTTTTATCAGTTCTATCAGATAGTTCCAGAAAATAAGGTTTCTCTGCTTTTAGGTGATGCCAGATTAATTTATGGAAAAATTAAATAGCAACCCTGTAAGAAAGTCTGGAGAGATTTGGTTCGAGTTTCAAGTTCTTTCAAGACTTATTATGGTAATGCTTGAGGTTAAGCTAAATAGCTTTGAATTATCCTTTAATCAGTTGTTTAATAAACAGTAATTTAACTAATATTATTATACAAATAACTCTTTAGACTACAATGCACAAATAAGATCGTACTAGTTCTGCGATGCGTCACGCGCTGCACAGCTACCCTTATTTGTATGTGGGATCGATGTGCATTATTTTATATAACCTAGCTGCCGCACAAAAAATGCATGGTTAATTCTCGATTTTGATTGGCTAACAGTGACACTCAACAATTTAGGTCAAAATTACTCGAAATTTTACTAATGAAATCGCGGCCACCTATTAAGTGAAAAATGTTTCTGTGCTAATTTTACAATTGCGAGGGCCTACTTCTCTAAAAATTTCTATTTTGAGAATAAAAAAGTTAAAAAGTTAATTCCAGCCAAAATTATGTATTGCGGGCCCAATCCGCAAAGATTTTGTGCGGCAGCTAGGTTCAATCATTAATTTCTTCTAATTCTGTAAAAGTAAATTTTCGTTTGTCATTTTTATAGTTACTTCGATACTTTGATGTTTCAATACTAATACGATTAGTTTCTGATATGATCAGATGCTGATATGGTTCAAGCGCATATAAATGTCATCGAGACATTTCGTGTGTGTACTATTTTCAGTTAATGCAAAAATGTATTTTCTTGTAGTTTTTATTTTAATTTGCCCTTTTGTTTCTTTGGCATTACACGCTTTTTCTCTTGGGATTTTTGGCCAGTTTGATTAATTGATAATCAATGATCGTTAAAGAACATGGTGAAAGGCAAAAGAACTACAACGAAAGAATCATGAACTTAGCTCTCTCAGCCTTGACCAACAAAAATTTATGTGATTTGTCATTCTATCGCCACAGCAGAGATCAATTTCATGCTTCGCCACATTCTGAAAATGTGCACTATATTCATTTACCAATAGTTATTTAGATTAGGATCAAAATATATGGATGTGTAACTTCCAGTAACTTTTTATTTGGCAGGTGATAAGATCATACTGTACTGTAATCCTACGGCTGTATGGATCACAATGTGATTGTTTCGCATAACAAATAAAAGATTTAAATTTAATGCACCAGATTTGAGTCTAATGTATCATATTCGAGATAGAACATTTAATGGCAGAAAGGAAATGCTTTAAATCTAATGCATCAGCTTTGACCCAGGAGGGGCCCAAATTGGTGCATTAAATTCAAAACGGAACATCTAATGACGGAAGGAATATACTTTAAATTTAGTGTACCAGCTTTGGCCATGGAGAGGCCCAAATTGGAGCATTAAATTCAAAACGTAACTTAAGGAAAATTTCTTTCCGAAATAAAAGTAAGAATAAAACAAACAAATCTATTATCTTGGCATATTATGGGCGGCGAACCGCCCGCATGATCATGTTCTAATTACCAGTTATAAAAATAAATCGATCATACTTATATCCTATAAAATAGTATTTGTGCTCCACCTCAATATGTCAACTTGTCCAAAAAAATTATTAACTAGTGCCAAATCACAACATATACTTTTAATTAATTCTAATACACAACTATATTGATTGAAT